GCGCCTGATTTAGTGAAAGTAAAGTGGCAGGGCCACGGAAATGAAAATTTAGAGAGTAATGTTAATTTCCTGTTCCTAGGATAACTCCAGTTTAGTCATTATGTATTTACCTTTAACTATCCTTTTATACATTACTAAAAAAAATTGGGGGGAATACACACACACACACCCCGTATGTACTGGAGTATAAGCTGACCCGAATATCAGCCGAGACACCTAATTTTACCACAAAAGCTGCATTAAAAATGTGCTGAAAAACTTGGCTTATGTACCAGTATATACAGTGTGTGTGTGTGTGTGCATGTGTGTGTGTGTGCATGCATGGGAGAGCTATTGGCCTGTAATTTTCTTTTTTACTATGTCCTTATCATGTTTTGTTATTAAGATGTTAGCCTCAAAAAGTAAGCTAAAAAAATCCTACTTTTTCTTTAGTGTGAGGCATAAGATTGGAGTTTTTTTTTTTTTTTAGATTGGAGCTTTTAAATACGTTTTCTTTAGTTTTAGCAACATTCAAAGTCTTCTACTTCTGCGTAGGTCAGTTGTAATGAGTTATATTTATCTAGGAATGTGTCCTTTTCTGATTTTGGCACAAAGTGTTCATAATAAACTAGTATCTCTGTAATCTTTGCATCAGCTGTCATTTTCGCCTCTATTTTTCGTTATTGGGCAGGCTGACCTGAGGTTAGTCAATTTTATTAGTCTTTTCAAGGACCCAGCTGACTCTGTTAACCTTCTCTATTGTATTTATTTTCCATTTTATTCATCTCCACTCCTCCTTATTTGTTCTTTCTGCTATTTTCTTGCTGTTCTTTTTTCCACTCCTTGAAAGGAATGCTTAGGAAATTCACTTTCAACTTTCCTCCTCTTCAATCCATGTTTTATAAGTTTGCTCTATCTCACGTGCTTTTTTCCGCTCTTTTCATGTCATTCTCTCATTTCCGTTGGCCACCAGCTCTAGGGAGCTTCCTCTCTGCCAGCTCTCCGTGTGGGAGGGAAGGCCTTGGCTCCTTTCAGAAGCTGTGGGCCTGGCATTCCTTGGAGATTTCTGTGCATCTAAGCATCCATCTTCCACTGGGTCTAGAAGGTTCCCAACACAAGGACTGTGGGTCCAAAGAACGTGTCCCACTCCCAGCTCTCCTGCCTTGGTGAGAGTGGGTTCTCTCTCTCTCTCTCTCTCTCTGCTCACTTCATTCTCTAAGTAGATCCTATTTTCCCATGATTCAAAACCCGGACAATATGAAAAGGTGTACAATGGACAATCTTCCTTTCAGACTTGTCTCTAACCTGCTCACACAGGTAACCGCAGCTCTTCAGGTTCATGTGTCCCCTTCCAGCCTTCTTGTGCTTTTAAGTAATTCTAGCCGAAACCGTTATTTCCTTGTCACTTATGCACCGAAATAGTATCTTGTATGCACTCTTCTAAATCCTGTTTCTAGGCCCCTTCATGATCATATTAGGGGTCTTCCCATGGATGTACCCCAGAGTGGCCACCTGTGTTTTAACAGCAGCCCAGTATTCCATTGTACCTGTACTGTTGTTTGTCACTATGAATGTATTGCAAGGACCTGTTTTCCCTCCAATCTTTTGTTATTATGAAAGGTGATGACATTGCCCATGCTGCCATATGTAAATAGACCCATTATAGAAATTCCTGAAAGTATAATGACTAGTTAAAGAATATGTATAAAGATTGTCTTATTTTTTTAAACCTTTTATTATGAAAACATTAAAAGCATGTAAAATGGGAGCGAGCAATATCACCTGCCTCCAACCATTCTAGCCAGTCTCATTTCATGGACCCCCTGCCCACCTCCCAGTAGTACTTCTACTCCTAGATGCTTTGAAGCAATTCTGGACATCATCTCATCTGTAAATAGTTCTAGATGTATCTATTTATTTACATCTACAAGATAAGGGGACTTTAAACATGTATTCACAAGCCATACCATGCTAAAAAGCAGCAGTTATTCCTTAATATGATCAAATGGTCAATATTTTCAAATTTTGCTAATTATCTCCCTCTCTATAATCGACCCATTTGAAACAATCCAAATAAAGTTCATGTGCTACGTTTGGTGATTATGGTTTGTAAGTGCCATTTAATCTATAGATGGCCCTCCTGTTAAAAATTTTAAAGACAAAAAAAATATTTTTCTTACCAGGTATAAACGTCTTTTTATTTAAAGTTGGTAAAGGTATGCACCAAGGTTGTATCCGTTCTCACATATGCCGAATAAATAACCCAAGAAGCTGAGCGACAAGAGGAAGAACCTGGCAGCAGGATTGGAGGAAGGCTCCTTAACAACCTGGTATGCAAATGATAGAACGCTTCCGGATGATGGTGAGGAGGACTTGCAGCACCTACTGAGGAAGAGCCAAGAGGAAGGTGCTCAACATGGCTGACACCCCAGCACCCAGGAAACACCAATTCTTACAATCGGACCGAAAAGATTTGCTAAGGATCTCCTTTTACTTGGCTGCACAAGCAACAGCCACGACAGCAGGAGTTGAGAAATCAAAGGGTGTGTTGCCCTGGGCAAATCTGCTGCCAAAGACGTCTTTAAAGTTTGTTTTGTTGTTGTTGTTGTTGTTGTTTTAAAAATCACTTTATTGGGGGCTCGTACAACTCTTATCACAATCCATACATCCATCCATTGTGTGTCAAGCACATTTGTACATTTGTTGCCATCATCATTCTCAAAACATTTGCTTTCTACTTGAGCCCTTGGTATCAGCTCCTCATTTTTTCCCCCTCCCTCCCCGTAAAGTTTTTTTTTAAAAAGCAAAGACATCACTTGGAGGACTAAAGTGTGCTTGGCCCACGCTGTGGTAGTTTGGGTTAACCTCGTTGGCATGTGAAAGCTGGCTATTGAATAAGAAAGACTCACTGCCTTGCAGTTATGGTGTGGGATGTGCCGTGGACTGCCTGAACAACAAACAAATCGGTTTGGAAACAGCAGAGTGAGCGCTCCTGAAAGGGAAGGTAGCGAGACTTCACCTTGACTCCTTTGGACATGTCCTCTGGAGGGGCCAGTCCTTGGAGAATGACATCATGCTTGGCCAAGTCGAGGGTCAGTCTAAAGAAGACCTATGAGATAGATTGGCCCAGTGACTGTTACAGTGGACTTAAACATCGCAATGATTGTGACCATGGCACAGGGCCAGGCAGCATTTGCCTCTGTTGTACATAGAATTGCAATGAACTGGAACGGACCCAACAGCATCTAACAACAAGGACATGGTTGTTTTGCTGGGCAGTGGCTCGGCAGTTCCTTACATTGCCTTTTCAGAAATGGAAACTCTCTTTTACTTAAAATAGTGGCTACAGTGGTGTATGCTTAGCAAAGGCCAGCATGCATCCATGTCTCAGAACCGCTGGAAATTTTTTCCTTTCTTAAACATGTGCATGGGTTTTAAAACAACAACACAAATCTACAAATAATACATATTTATAAAGCAAGTAAACAACACTTTGTACTGGACAAATCTGCATGAGACCTCTTGAAAGTGTTGAAGGGCAAGGATGTCAGTTGCGCCTGACTCAAACCTTGGTATTTTCAGTCACCTACACACATGAAAGTTGGACAATGAGTGAATAGGGAAGACTACAGAAGAATCCATGCACTTGGATTACGGTGTTAGCGGGAAGTATTGGAAGTGCCACTAGACTGCCAGCAGAACCAGCATCTGTCTTGGAAAAGCACAGCCAGCAGGCTCCTCAGAGGCGAGGGTGGTGAGACTTCGGCTCGAGTTCTTTGGACACGTTGTCAGGAGAGACCAGTCCCTGGATTAGGCCATCATGGTCCACAAAGTTGAGCGAGCGTGAAAAAGAGGAAGCCCTTCAACAGAATGGATTGGCACGGTGCCTCTAACAGTCGGCTCGACCATAACAATTCTGAGGATAGTGAAAGACCAGACAGTGTTTCATTCTGTAGGGCCACTGAGTCAGAATTAATAAAAACATAAAGCAAGTACATGTATGCATACCTATATAGAGAATGCGGGTATGTGTGTAAGTATGTATGTATGATCTTCAAAAAGTGCATGGACATTTTCCATCCTTTCCATGAACTTTTTGAAATATATATATATATATATATATATATATATATATATATTATAGAGAATGCGGGTATGTGTGTAAGTATGTATGTATGATCTTCAAAAAGTGCATGGACATTTTCCATCCTTTCCATGAACTTTTTGAAATATATTATATATATATATATATATATATATATAATAGAGAATGCGGGTATGTGTGTAATTATGTATACGATCATCAAAAAGTGCATGGACATTTTCCATCCTTTCCATGAACTTTTTGAAATTATATTATAATTTCAAAAAGTTCATATATATGTAATTACATATATATATGTAATAGAATATGTATAGAATTACATATATATATGTAATAGAAGCCCTGATAGTGTCCTGGGTTACTGAGTTGCTAAGTTAGGTGAGCAAAGTTAGGTTAGTAGTTAGGTTGCTAAGTTTGAAGTTAGCAATTTTAAACTTTCTACTTCTGTAGAATTATGATATCATTCTACCTTGTGCCACAGTGTCACTGTGAGTCAGAATTCACTCGATGGCAGTAAAAGTGGTATATATATATGGTGATATACCAATATATATATTGGTTACCTACTGTCAAAAGTGATATGTATATATGGTGATATACCAATATATACATTGGCTACCTAGAGTCAAACTGCTTGGGTTTAATGGCCATTTTTACAACTTACCAACTGATCAGCCTGAACAAGTTCAATTAGCTGCATGCAACTTAAGTTTCTTTAGCCTCCAAAGCTGAGATTGTAATATCTCACTCACCGGGTTTTTGTGAGAATTAAAGGAGCTGCTGTATAAAAGGCAAAGCACGCAGCGCAGAGTCTGACATGCTGTAAGGGCTGGATGCAAGGGAGCTAGCTGCTCTACAGAGCGAAACCTGGTTCTCAGTGGCAGTTAGTATCTGTTCACCCTTTCTGCCCCGGCAGTTCCTGTGTGACGAGGGTGCTGGTGTTTCTGGGGACTACATTGACCGGGTGGATGAGCCTCTGTCCTGCTCTTATGTGCTGACCATTCGGACTCCTCGCCTTTGCCCCCACCCTCTCCTGCGGCCACCGCCCAGCGCCGCTCCCCAGGCGATCCTCTGCCACCCTGCCCTGCAGCCCGAGGAGTACCTGGCCTACATTCAGCAGCAAGCTGGTGAGTGGCTGGAACATGGAGGGGGTGGGGGAAGAAGCTGTATAGGGTGGGGAGGGGGAGGCAGAAGATCCTGTCAGAAGGACCTGATCCAGATCCAGCCCCACGCCCCTCCTCCATGTCTCAGACAAAAAGCCGGATGGCGGTAACATCGCAGAGGAGCTGCAAGACCTCGACTCCCAAGTGTGGAGTGAGACCAAGTCTGACCATGCGGTGCCTCCAGAAAGAGAAGGTAGGACCCCTCATTTCATAAAGAGAAGGCAGGGCCTCATTTCATTTGTTCCAGGCAGCATGCCCCCATTTCCTCCCATTCTCCCTGTCCTGTGCTGCCCGGCCTTTGGGTGGAGCTGGCGGGAGAGAGCATGGATCCTCATGGGAGGAGTGCGTCAGTACTCCATCCTGTGTGCTGCCCTGCTCTCAGGCTCCTGCCTGCCCTTGACCCCCCAGGTACAAGCCCAACCAAGGAAGAGAGTAAGGAATCCGATTTCTGGAAGATGATTCGTGAGCAGGAAGACCAGGCCCCAGCAGGGGAAGAGGCGCCGGCTGAGGTGAGAGAGCCAGCTCACACTCCGCAGATGGAGCTGGACCTGGGCTTGGGGACGGGGAGGGCAGTCCAAGCTGAGGTCACCGGGCGGTGGGGTGTGTGTGACCCACATCTATCTAGGGCTGGAAGGATATCCCCAGAACCACAGCCTTCAGGGTGTGGCAGGCACACAGGAGCTTGTGCACCTGACTGCCGGCTTCTTCCTCCTCCTCAGGAGCAGGACCCTCATGGGGAGGCAGCAGATGCAGCTCCCAGCCGCCCTGATGGTGAGTGCACCCCCTCCCCCATCTCTTTCACTACTTGGACTACGGGTCTTAGGGTATAAAGGGCAGGGATGTGACTGGGGTACGGTCAAGCTATGGCTCTGAGAGGGAGATTAGGCGGCCAGGTGGGCAGTTGAGTCCATTTGCCGGGGCGTGACTGCGCCTGGCTGTATTGCGTTACCCTGCTGCTGTTTGAGCCAGGTCAGAGCTCACTGTTGTCCTGGGTGACTTCACATCGACCCGTGCCCTCGGCCTGTAGAATGTGGAGGACAGCCCCTACCTGCGTGGGTTGCCATGGGATTAAGTGAGGATGAGTGTGCAGTTCCTTAGAGCGTGCCTGGAACTGAGTAGACCGCCAACGATTCATACTTCAGCCAAGGGGAGCGAGGAGCCCAGGGAAAATAGCCCTGCACCCCACAACCCCTCCTATAGTGCATCAAACCGTAGCCCGCAGAGTGAAAGAGTGTGTGTGTGTGTGTGAAGGGGGTTTCCCACTCACTTGCCACTCTCCTGCCCCACCTGCAAGTCACTTCTGTCTCTAGGGAGTACTGTGGCCCCTCTCACTGACGGGTAGCTAGCTTCTGGGGCCAGGGACCTTGACCCTCCTTGATCTCCCCGCCTTTCCCCAGAAGCTAATGCAGAGCCCGGAACAAAGAGGGCGGACGCCTACTCTCCCCTCTCAGATTTTCAGAGCAATGTGCAGGTCAAAGTCATCCGGGACCCCGCAGACTTGATTCGCTTGATAGAAGAGCTCAAAGGTGGCACCAAAAAGGTATGGGCCCCCAGTCAGGGAGGGCTGACCCTGGCCTGCCGTTCATCCAGCTGGGAGCATTCAGAGAGCCAGCCCCATGCTGGGCCTGAACCAGGCCCCTATAGAGCTAGCCTCCTTCCTCTAGTCGCCTGAGCTCAGCGACCATGCCCCACTGCTGTTTGTCTGCCCCTGACCACGTGTCTCTCCTGAGCCCTAGCTGCCCGCCTCCTTTCTCCTTCACCCCGACCCCCTAGGGGAAGCCAAATTCGGTCCAGGAGCAGCCTGTCGATGCTCCAGAAGAAGCCCTTCGCAGGGACCCCGAGGAGACGGACAAGGGTGGGGACGAGGACCCACCTGGCGTGGTGGAGGAGGCGGAGGAGGACGAGGAGGAAGATGAAGAGGAGGAGGAACAGCAGCTCCTCGGAGAGTTCGAGAAGGAACTGGAGGGGATACTGCTCCCATCAGACCGAGACCGGCTTCGCTCGGAGGTGAAGGCTGGCATGGAGCAGGAGCTGGAGACCATCATCCAGGAGGTGAGCGAGCGGGCTCTTGGCAGCCACCTCCACAGGTGATGGAGGGGTGATGGAAAGCCAAGAGTGCATGGGGCGGCCAGCACAGCACCAGGGCAGGGCAGAACTCTGAGGAACGGTGGTGGCTTCCTTGACGGAAAGGGGGACCCTAGGGAAGCGAGCTGGTGAGGGGGCGCAGAGTTGATCGGGGTTCTGAGTAGAGCATGAAGGGAGTCCCCCGCAGCATAGTGGTGTGGTGCAAAACCTACAGTTGGAAACACCCCCTTCATCACCCCCACCCCCACCCCCCACTCCTTGGGAGAAACGGGAAGCTCTGTCCGCCTGTAACAGCTTACAGTCTTGGAAACGTCCAGGGACAGGTCAACCCTGTCCCATGGGGCCATAGGAGTCAGAACTGACTCCCTGGTGCTGAGGTTGGCTTTTTGGTTCGATGGAGTTCAGAGGAGCCCCGGTGTACTGGTTTGGTGCTCAGCCGCTAACTGAAAGGGTGGCAGTTCAATTTGAACCTACTGGTGCTCTGGAAGACAGCTGGGAGTCTGCTTCCATCAGGTGCACACAGCCTCGGAATCCCACGGGCCTTCCAGACCCTGTCCCCTAGGGCCACCAGAAGTCAGAATCACCTCGGCAGCAGTGGGGTTCGAAGCTGAAGGCCCCAGGGGGCACAAGTTGGTTGCTCTCAACTACTAAAGGTGGTTCCAACCTAACTGGCACCATGGCAGCAAGGCCTGGCAATCTGCTGCTGTCAGGTTGGTGGTCCAGGAAGCCCCAGGGAACAGCTGTGCTCGGGGACGTGAGGTTGCCACCCGCCAGACTCCACTCACCCCCTTGGGCATTACAGACCGAGAAGGAACTTGACCCAGATGGGCTGAAGAAGGAGTCGGAGCGTGACCGGGCAATGTTGGCCCTGACATCTACTCTCAACAAGCTCATCAGAAGGCTGGAGGAAAAACAGAGTCCCCAGCTGGTGAAGAGGCGCCGGAAAAGGAGGGTTGTCCCCCCAAAGCCTACCCCCACCCCAAAGCCCACAGGTGAGAGAAAGCTGTAGGCCAGGCTGCTGCCTTTCTCTCTCCATGGGGCGCCCCCTCTGGACGGCTCTTTCTCTGTCTGGAACACTGTACCCCCTGTTGCCTCTTCTCACTGGCGCCCGCCCCCG